AAGTATTAGTTGTCCAGATCTCTGCCAGCCTCTCTCTACAAAGGAAGGAGAAAGAGGTACTTGTAAAGAATGGCTCTTCCAGTCCTAAAAAGGAGTTCAGATTTTGTGGGATGAGCTACCTCTGCCCTCTCCAGTAATGACAAAGAGAGTGAAGGTGTCTAGCTTAGACTGAGATGTCTCATTTTTAGACATTAAATGGAAAGAATCCTTTCTTGAGGTATATTTTAGTCTGAAAACTCCAACGTAAACATTGCAACTCTTTTTCTCTGCAAGGATTCATGACCTGACATCACGATGTAAGAGACAATTAAATCATTCTTGACCTTAGGTATTTCAGAAGATGGTCTGCAAACAGTCCTAAGTTTTGATCCAGCTTCACACACTGCCAAAGCTTACAAGTGACAAGAGCTAGGGACTTTTTTAGTGCACACAAGAGGTCAAAATCAGTCTTGAGATTTGGTTCCAGAGCTAAACTTTCTCATGTTTGATGTGGAGACATCTAAAGGTAGAATTCCTATCTACAAATTTCATTTAGGGTCATGTCTCCTAATGAAAAGTGCAGTTCAAATCAAGGAAGGAAGAAAAAAAATCAGCAATTATAAGAGTAGAAGAACAAATAAAGGAAAATTGGGAATTTCCAAGAAGCTTTACTTTGACAGGCAGCTCATAATTTATCTTGTTTATTAAACATCTGATAACTGGAACCTTCATTGTTATTGTTTTCCAGGGTTTTCAGTATAAACAAATGGTCATTTTCTCCTTTCCTCATTTTAATTTTCAGAACCAAAAACAGATCCTTGAGCAACACAACGAAATACGGAGATCCGTAATTCCCACAGCCAGGAACATGCTGAAGATGGTAAGCTATGCATTTCCACATCATTAGCAGAAGATTGTAGCCTTCTAAACAATCTACAATCAGTGAAGAGAGAGGGCGGGAAAGGTGCTCTGGGATTGAGATGAAGAAATCAGAATTTTATCCCTTTGTTTCTGCAGGCTTCATGCTTAACTTTGCACACCTCGATGCTGCAAGCACTTCTAAAATCATTGCAAAAGTCTCAGGATGAGCCACAAGCACTATTTGAAACCTCTCTCCTAACCAACATGCCTTAGTTTCTCCACTTAGCAAAACTGGGTTAAGCAACATCGGAAATGTTCCATGCCTAGGGTTAATTGTCTACAGGAGCTACAAACACAGGCTTGCCCCAACCACATCTATTTATTGCTGTCAAACCTACATTAACCCAGACTGCACAGTGGATCACAAGTTCTTGCCTTACGTCTGCTCATTGCAATAGACAGCGACTGCAAGCCTTTTCAGGGAAAGTATTTAAACCAGGGATAAGGTACAAAATGCAGTGATGGCTCTTGGGTTATGGATAACACTCTTTAGTCTGTGGGATAAGCACCTCCCTTAGAAAAAGAGAAACACATGTCCTGGATGAAGGAAAGTGTGTGTAAAGCAAAGGTGGAGCAGGAGCACCAGCAGCAACATGTTTCTGAATCGCACACTGTCAGGAGGGCAAAAAAGGCCTAGGCCCACCTAGCCATTTGCCCTCAGTGGAACCTGCTTTGCCCATCACTGCTCCCATCCCCGTCACCCCTGATATTCTTTGTTATCCCCATCCCATGGGCAGATGAGCTCATCAGTGCTTTACAATTAAGTCTGCGCGGTAAGACTTGCAAACATTCCCCAGGTTCAGAGTCCAGCTGGTGTCTATCGCTACATCTCAGCTGCACCTGGGCTGAAAATCAGTTTTATACCATTTAGTGCACTGCACCCTGCAAAGTTAACTCAGACACAAAGCCAAAAGAAAGCAACAGTGTGTTATAAAATTCCTATTAATCATAACTCTCTGGAGATCAGGACTGTGTGCTACTATGCAAAATAACCTGCTCTGCAACCTTTAAGAGCTGAAGAAATGTGGCACCCATGCCCCAGCAGTGTAAACTGGCACGGCTCCTCTGCTTTCTGTTGACGACCACGAGAGCATTCAGTGCACAACACCCAAGTCACTCCCCATTTTTTTTTTTCTTCTCATGGACTGCACTAGCCTATCTGTGACCTGGATACTTCTTCCTTTGTGTCTTTCAGGTGTGGAGTGAGAAAGCTGCCAAAAATGCTCAGAAATGGGCGGATAAGTGTGAGATGAAAATCAGTCCAGGAGATCAGAGAGTCATTGATGGTACATGACAAATATGGAGCCTAAGCTGATGGGATGACAATTTGCAGAAGACTCCTGTTGCCTGTGAACTAGAAACAAGGATAACTTTTAATCTGTAGTAGAATATATTTTTTAGGATTATTAAACACAAAAACATCATCTTTGTCAGATAAATACCCTGAAAGACAAATTGTTAGAACTTGAGAGAGAGGGATGCTATGTATTTGCCCTATATTTGTACCTTTCTTGAAGTGTCCACTTTTGGCTCCTGCTGGAGATAAGACAACGCAATAGATGACTGTTGGTATGACTAAGTACAGACATTTTTGTGTAACATTTTGTAGTCGAATAAGTATCTGTGACTGAAAGCTCACCAAAATCAGAGTTACATTTCCCGCAGCTTTCATAGGATCAGGTGTACTGTCCTTTTCTTCAAATCACAGGACAAATAAGTTGGCATCATAGAGGGGTTTTTAGGATGTAGCTACAACCCCTCTGTCCTACCTCCCACCCTACAGCTTGCTTCTCTCCTAAGTAATAACATAGACTTACTTCCACTTCAGGCATCACCTGCAGTGAGAACGTATTACTGTCATCTTACCCAAGAACATGGGCTGAAGCAATTCAAGTCTGGCACAGTCAGTCCTCCAATTTCAAGTATGGACTTGGAGCAACCGCGAAAAATGTCATTATTGAGAACTATACTCAGGTATGAGAACTGAAACAAACTGCAGTGATACGCTAGAATTACAGGAGGACACTTAAGAGAACTGGGAGATATTTATAATCAGAAAAAAAATATCACTGTCATCAAACCATTATCATTCATATTCTGATCCAAAGATGAATGACAAATGAAAACTCTTTTTCATCTAATTCTGAGGCAATGGAACCAGTATTTTGGAAGAGCTGTCCAGAAGAGAAATATTATTTTGTAGAAAAAAAATTCAATACCTTCAATTTAGAAATAAATATTTTCTATATGGGGATTGAAATACCTGATTAAGAAATGTAAAAGCAAAATATCTATGATGAAAATATTTGAACTTAAATTTTAGTGTCCTGCCAGAAACTGTGTTCAAAAACATCTGGAAACTGGAGAACATGGTTAACTCATTTTTCTATTTATTCTTTCTGACAGCTAAACTGTAAACTTAAAAACTAAATAGACAAAATGAAACAAAAAATTAGCTTCTGGTTCTGTTATTTTGTGAGCTCTTTGATGGGAATTCAATAAAACATGACTGTGAAATAATGTGTTTATTTTTTTATTCTACAGCTAATCTGGTACAACAGTTACCAGATTGGATGTGCAGTTGCCTACTGTCCTAGGAACCAGTTCAAATACTTTTACGTTTGCCAATACTGTCCTCCGTACGTACTGCCTTTTTACTCATTTAAGATACGATAATTATGGATATGTTTTCAAAAACTCCTGTGGTCCATTGGTCAGGTGTAGGATCAAATGATTACAGTTTATTTTAACCATTTACAATTTTGAAAATACCGATGTGAATTGTGGGCTTAACAACAGGTTAAATAGTAATATTTATTTTATTTCACATTGAAACAGATATTAGGGAAATTTTAGCATATGAACAAAGAAAGGTCTGTCTCTGCAGAACCAGGCATCATGCACAAATCATCCTATAACTTTGACCACAAACAAGAAAGTCAGATGCAAAGTGAAGGCCAACAGCAAATGAATATTCACAGAAGTAAAGAGCACATCTGAAACAGCTGCATGTCAGAAGGCATCTGCTGAGGTTATAAGCCACAGTCACTTGAAAGCCATTAGAAAAGCAGAACTAGGAAGCACATAAGATTTTTTTTTTAACTGATAATGCCATACAAATGCAAATAATCAGTTAATTTTCTTTCTCTAAACCTTATTGTCCCTCTTATTTAAAATCAAAGTTATTGTATTCTAAGAATATCTGAAACTAAAACATGACTGTTTATGAAAATAATTTTATCCAAAAACTTCTGGATGCCTTTCATTGCGATAAATAACATGAACTCCTGTTAATGTCTCAGAGCTGCACTTTGATCTTGTTTTGTGTTGTATTTCTTTCAAATTTCAGAGGAAATATTGCAATGCAAATAGCTACACCTTACAAAAGCGGACCAAAATGTGCAGACTGTCCCGACCACTGTGACAGAGGGCTTTGCAGTAAGTGAATGTATTCTCCTCCTTACAACAAACATTGAATTACCTCAGATAATAATAATGTTCCTTTGTAGCATTTTACTTTTGCATCGTTACTTCTTGCTAATCTGCATGAAAGATCCTAGAACTGTCCCTTTCATTTCCCCCCAGAAATAACAGTGGTTAAATAACCCACCAGAACAGGCACAATCTTGAGCAGGGGGCTTGGACCAGATGACCTCCAGAGGTCCCTTCCAACCTCAACCAATCTGTGATAACGGGTAAATTGTGCTGCTGTCGAGCAATAGGTGCATTATCACACCATCAATCTGCTGCTGTCCTCTTCTGGAAAGCTCAAGACAAAATGTCTTGATGTACATCTATATATAAGGGCACGAACAGATTGTCCGGCTTCACACATCCGTATGTACGTGAAGATCTGCACAGGCCCCTGGGTTCTGCAGGCTTCCATGTGGAGCAAGTCAAAGCGTACAAATAGATAGGAACTGTAAGATACCACCTTTCTGCCTGCATTCCCTTTTCTATAATATTCAAGAAATTTTAACAGCAGAGCAAAAGTACAACGACTTGAAAATTTGGAATTTTTGGAAAATGCAGAAGTATCAGACCAGGACTTGGTTTTCAATTAATATTTCATGCTTTTATTTCTATCTCTTGTATTTTAGCCAATCCTTGCAAGTATCAAGACCTCTTTGTAAACTGCAAAAATCTGAAAACCTTGTTTAGCTGTGACCATTCACTGGTGAAGGAGAAGTGTCCTGCTACCTGTCAATGCACCACTCAAATCATATAATGACCTGGTGGGTGACATTATAGCTGCTGTGAGACTTGCTTATTAGGAAAGAGTAGAACTCACTGTGAAGTGGTTTCACTCTCAGTGCATCAGCTCAGATTGATCTATAGGTATCTTTTTTTCTGAAATCTCACCATTACTTCAGTCCTAAATAAGTCTAGTAGCTCAAAATAACCTCTGATGTTATTTTAGACTTTGTAGAAATCATGCTTGAGCTACTAAAGTGTTAGTTTGTGGTTTTTCTTGCAGTCCACTGATTCCTTTCTTTTTAATGGGAAACACTTTCAAAACACTTTTGTTTTTTTGCAGAAGATGTTAAATGCCACGTAACTTTCTTCTGTTACCTTTTCTTTGATTATCAATGGAATGTATTCCTGCTAAATAAATACACGATTTACTACCGGTTTACAAACAGAGCTTTTCATTCAAGTTATTTATCATTCAATTTTTTTCATTTGGGAAATCCCTTATGGATATTTCAAGGCTCTTTGATACTTCATGTAAGTGGGGATGAGACAGGAAAAGAAAGACAAAGCAAAAAGTGATGCATTTTTTTGTACGGCCAAAATAAGAGGCACATGTTGAATCTGCCAACTTTTACTCTGTGGCCTAAACACAAAGCTTCTGATACATCTGTGTATGCAGGTGATAAATGATAATTTTTTTCATATGGCACCAGCAGTAGAGAAATATGAAGCTTTTTAAATACAAAGAAAGAGGTGTGTATATATATCCCTTCCCATCCTCTCTATGAGTAAGTCCCACACTTGTTGGAATTCATATTGCAGCATATAGAAAAAAATGCTGCAACAAAAACCAAAACCAAAACCAAACAAAACAAAACAAAAAACAAACAAAAAAGCAGTAGATCCAAGTCCCCAAAAATCCCCATCAAAATATCTGATTTTCTCCATGTCGTGGTTTAACCCTCTGGCCAAACAGACCCCGGCCCGTGCCGGTATCAGTCGCCCCTGTACACAAGAAGAAATTTTGGAAGCGGAAGTCGGCTCGTTTAGTGAGGGAGGAAGAAGCTTCTTCTAAAAGGGAACCGGAGGAAGAACTGTACGAGGCAGATGACCCTAGGGAAGGGCCATCACGAGAACAGGAGGAGGACAGCCGGCCACTGATCGGGGAGGAAGAAGAGGAAGGAAATTAACTCTATCCCTGCCGAAACCAGGACACTCCAGAACTTCCCAGGAATCATCTTAGGGCCAATGCCTAGCAGTGCACACCTCTAGGACGTCTCCAAGAAGGTTAAGTTCAGCTGAAGGCCTTAGGTGTGCCTTCTCCCACCTTTATGTGCAGGCAGGCCACCAGCTCCTGCCTAGGGGGAAGTTTAGCTGGATCTGCTGCACGTGGTCACAGTGCCATGTTTGTTTGTGCATTGCTTCTAATAATGCATTTCCTTGAGTAAAGTTTTTCATTTCATATCTTTCCAGACCCTTTACAATGCAGGGCATGACTTCAAAGGATTGTGTGTCTGTATTGACCCAGAACTGAGGACTTAGATTTGGTACCTGTCAGTGGCATTGGTTACTTGGAGAAACTGTCTGACCCATTTAATGAGGGCATTATGACAATCATGCCTGATTACTGAGAATAGTATTACATTGATAAAACAGTATTTCAGAATCATCTTACAGCTTTTTTTCTTTTTTAACATGTTATAGTTTTTATCTGGTCTTTATACGTCTAACTTTAATAAAAAGGTAGATACAGAGGAAATAGAAGCTCTTTGCTTACCGTTTATAAACCTTGATAGATGTCAAAAAATGAGCAAACATCTGGTACAACATCTTCTCACTGAACAGAGAAGCTCCTTCCCACTAACCTTCCTCCTGACACTTCTCCCTAGTGATATATCCTGGTGGATGCAGGATGCACTAGGGTGTCCCACCGGACCTCCAGGTGCTCCTCAAGATGGGTACTGGTCTCCCATAGGTCTTGAGTCACATATACCAGCCCCGAGCAGGACTGATCCCACTTACCACCTTCCCTTCCTATTTTAGACCAGTAAAAATCATTTTCTCTGTAGGACTGCAATTCTGGTTAAAAACACAAGATGGTGAACCATACCCAGACATTCAGCTGCATCATTTTTTCATTTTGCTACCTGTATAAAGGGCTTCTCCTTTTACTAGAAATTAAAGTTCTGGGCCTACCTTGGCCTGATTTTAACACTTGCTTGCACAGAATTTCTTAGCTAATACTGGATGAATAAATAATCACTACATATAGAAACAGATTGGTAGCGGTTTCTTCCCCTCCATTGTTTCATCCTGTCTCTGTTGGCCAAATTACTATCATATTAAAGCAACTTATACCATCCAATTAAGGCAATTTGTGGTTTCCAGGATATCAATGACTAATTCTTGTAGCCTTGTTTTTCTACCTGCCTGAAGCTCAGTTTCAACATCATGACTGTATGCCGTTATTCAAGGCTCCTACAACCACAACGATATTTGTAGAAAGTGTAATTCAAACCAAAGCTGGGTGAAAATTTCCTGAGAAACCTGTATTTTCATAAAAAAAAATACTATTCTATAAAACCCCAGTTCTCTGACAGGAGGATACATAATTTTGGCAAAACTCTCAGGTGTTTTCTGGGATATTTTCCAAGATTTAATTTCTGCTTACAACCAAGGAGATGGGTGTTAAAACTCCTTCCACGCACACACTTTCTCTTTCCTCCCTCTCTCTCTATGAGCCAATGAGTATTTAAAGAGGAATGATTTTACTATCAGAGATTTCTGAGAGCGCTCCCTCCCCAGAGAGCCAGCTTTTGTGCTCTGGATCCAGCTATGGTGGTTGAGCATGGCAGCAGCAGGAGCTGGAAGAGATATTCTGCATCATGAAGTGCCACCCTGGAGCATCATGCATCCTGCTGGGCTACTGCAGGGTATCCAGGCATTAACCTTCTTACTTTCGTAGGGGATTTCAAAAGATTCTGCTGCCCTATTGATGTGGAATAGAAGAAATAGCAGGTGAGATGAAAAGCTACCTGGATGATCCTGTTTCTCAATACAGACTTCAAGGAGAGCTTGGGTCACTCCACTTAGTTGTTCATGTCCCTGGAAAGGCTGAGATGCTTCTGACTATGAGTTTCCCATATGCAGATGAGGTCAAAGCAATATGACATTCACTGAGGTCCAGCATGTCAAATAACATTTTTCTCCATTCTCTGACTGTATTTTCACAAACTTGTGTTTTATACTGATGCCCTGAGAGTTGTTTCCTTTGTGGTACTAGCATATGCTTTCTGGTATGTGCTGAAGTTACATCTACAGAATTGTGCTGCTTTTTATGTGTAGTTCAGGCGAGAAGCTAGTAACACCGAGACCTTCTTATAATTTCTATTCTGGTTCCAGATATACTCACAAGAAGCGCATATGCTGAGAGATGATAAGAGCAACTACTCTGGTATAAGTCTAAGTCTTATCTGTGGAGAATGATGTAAGAGCTCTTCAGCAGTTAACTTACATGACAATGACTTTAAACACAGAGTTTTGAACAAATGTTATGAAGTCTTACGGCTTGTGAAGAAAGAACATTTTTTTGTATTTAAAATGCACCAGATGTGGTAGTCATCTAATTTGGCTGTCTGAGAATCAGCCTCTGGGCTAAGCAAAATAGAAGGTCTTTCACTTTCAGTATCACAAAGTCTTGCTGAGAGTCACGGGCCTAAATCTTCCCTGTTTTTCTCCATCTATCGGTATGATAGAGAGAACAACTCTTCCATAAATATTGCCTCACTCATGTCTTTAACATATCACACCTACAATAACAACAGGTTAAGCAGCTAAAGCTAAGACTTTATACTAAATGGAAAGCAAGGGTTGGAAACCTTGACATGCCATTAGAAACTTGTGTTGGCAGAATATCCAGTTAATGCCCAAGAACAAAACTGTAGCAAGTTGATTGAGCAAGACCAAGCAGCAAAGGGCCATCAGAGCAGGGACAGGACGAGGATGTTCCCCACCCCTGGGCTGTTCCTGGCTCTTCTAGGCCAGGCTGCCAAAAATTGGATTCCTCTAAGTGTAAGGGCCACAGTTAAACTGTGAAAAACAGGAGATGTACTTTCTCATTAAGAAGCTACTTGACAACTACTGTCTCCGCTCTGGGCTGCAAGACATTTAACCTCCGTGCTTCAGTCTCACCGACTGCAATGCAGAGATAAACTGACATAGTCAGGGCAAGGAAGATTAATTAGTGAATGCTGAGAAAGAGCCTATGAAGGACTAAGACCTCTTAATTATAATATCACATTCGGTAGCCACACCTCCAGTATAATTATATCTCAGTTTAACCACAAGTCAAGGGGACACAGGGCACCAGGAGATACAAGGGAGGAAATAACACTCCCTGCCACGCTGACCCGCCGGTGATGTCTGAAGGTTCACGGGCTGGTCACTGGGCTCAGTCATCTAGTCTTGGGTCTGTGCAATGCAGCCCATGGGGCTGTTCCCTAGGACTAACAAAGATATTCTGACACCCGCATCAATAACAAGTCTTGAAGAAAGGTAATTTTTAGGAAAAGTTGAGGTAACAGATTGGCATGGAAATACTCTTGCATACATTAAGGAAATGGCCCATGTGAACTATTCATTCTGTTGCTGATGGGCAACCCAATGCTCAACACATGTGTACCTGAAAATGACTCTTTAAAATGCTTATCATCAGATTTTTGTTTTTTTCCACAGTAATGGAAATTATAATTTCAAATCAAATGACATTTTTCTCTTTCTGTTTTACATCATTAACACTCCTCTGCTTTCTTCTTTTCTCCCACTTCTGCATAAAGTGATGCAAGTAAAAGAGGAAAACCCAAGCTGCCAAACTAAAATCAAATTAAGGCTTTTATTTGTTTTGTTGACAAATTTTGAATGAAACATATTTTTTTTTATTTTATTCATTTACTTTAAAGCACCATTTTTTTATTTTAGGGCATGCATAACCATTCACCTCTCTTCTTTAAAAAGTTCTTTCCCAATGTAAACATATTGCAGAAACATATACTGAAGATAAAAAAAGAAGTATATGTTAAACCATGTTCTTTTTATTTAGTGATATACAGCGTTCTTTGTGCAGGCACATATAATAACTCAAGTTTTCCACAAAGTGATTCCTGAAGGGTCAAAAGCTGTTTATTTTGGCAAAAGTTGAAATGTAGTCCTTGTGATTTTTGCACAGGATTGAAACACTGAAGGGTAAGAGAGAGTTTCTAAGCACTACTGCTTCTGAAGCACCAAAATTACACAAAACCAGTAATTTCAAAGCAAGAATGGATTCACTTCTTGTGCAGATGTGGCAGTGCAACTCTGGCCATATGATGGAGGAGACTTTCCTCCCTCACCCAACAATGTATCAGAAAACATTAAGAAGTCTCTTATTTTTTTGAAGTAGACTCCTCAGTTAGTGCTTTGTTGTTAGGAGTGGTTCCTGTGCAGGTGTCACTATTTCTTATGTCAGGAGATGTTTCTCAATATATTGGTTACCGCAAGTGACAAAACTGCTTCTGTTTTCCTTCCTTTTTTATTGTACAGTGTTAATGCATTAGTAAGGCAAAACTGTGTTTGACTAAAATGGATAAATCTGAAAGAGAATTGAGCTTTTGCATGAACATTTAGTATCCTGGAAATCTATCACATGGAACAATTTAATCATTCAGTTTAACCACAAGTTCTAGATGCTCCATTGGTATATGAATACAGATTTCTCATCTACAAGGAGACTATCTCAAAGTCAAGTTCTGTTTTCACCACCTTGATCCATAAGGCAATGAAAGTCTAATGATACAAGATTCTAGCCATAAACACTTCCACTAAGTAGAAGAGCCTAACTGGTTGTGACAACAGCGTATGTCAGAGCGAGTCAGTTAATATCTGGCAAGATGAAGATCTGGGAGCACCTAGTTTGCACACGCTCTAACTCTTCTAGAAGTGTAAGGACAGCATTGGTTCAAGGCAAAATCTGGGTATCTGAGACAATGGCAGGAAACGAGGCAAACTCCTTACGTCTGAAAGTTTGGTAAATCTGGACACATTTTACTCACAAGCTTTTCCAGATCAAAATCAGGTTTTGAGTCTCCTCCCTGTTATTTTTTCCAAAGCAGGCACTATTGTTGCAACTTGGTGGTTATCTGGCAGGCTTTCCTGG